ATCAGTATTACCACATAGTTCATGAATTATTATTTCCACGTTCATAATTAAGGCAATATCAATTAGTACCTAACAAAACTCTGTTACATGAATTTTTACCTTGCAGTTTAAACATTTTTAATGGACATGATGACCTCCTATGGCCCTGTTTTCATTTCCTTCTCACTGCTAGCTTCTATTACTACTAGGGAAAGAATTCTTGAACCTGCTGAAGATACTAAATATTTAATTATGTTCTTATCTGGTATATTTTATGCCAGAATTGTATTGTTTGCCTAATTGAGATGGTAACCTCTGGAAATAAGGACTTTATGTCTCATATTTGGGCCTCAGAAGATGGCTGGCCATTCATGTAGTGGAAAATAGAAAATGAGAATATACTCCAATCTAACTCTTTTAGGTCTTATGAAACAGATAGACAAAGACAGTATTCTTAAAAAGGCCCTGAAAATGGCATCTTATTCTGTTCCTTTGTTCATCCTCTCCAGTACATCTAAGGTTGTTAAATATCTAGTTAGTACAATATGATATATAAAGTTAGAAGTCTGATTAGCTAGTACCACATCCTGAAAACTTAAAAAAAAAAATTTAAATATTGCTATTATTTCTTCTTTTGAGAAAGTTCAAGCAAAGTAGTAACTTTTGGGGAGGGGAGATTTTGCCCATTAAACTAACATATGGAAATAAATTAGCCTAGGAAGTTGACATAACTCAGAGACATGTCTAGTGTGAAGGAACGTTTCTTAAAAGATATACTTTGGGGCTGGCCCCGTGGCCTAGTGGTTAAGTTTGGTGCTCTCCGCTTCGACAGCCTGGGTTTGGTTCCCAGGTGTGGACCTACCCCACTCAGCGGTGGCCATGCTGTGGCAGCAACCCACATACAAAATAGTGGAAGATTGGCACAGATGTTAGCTCAGGGCAAATCTTCGTCAGCAAAAAAAAAAAAAAAAGAAAGAAAGAAAAGATATACTTTCATGTGGCATTTCTTGCTCCAGTTCAACCTTGTGTAAAAGGAAAGATTGAAAAAAAAAAAGAAAAGACCCAGTCATGTCTTACAGGAACTTGTCATTTGGTAGCAAAGATAGACACATTCCTAAATAATTTAGATACTAGGCAGACTGATCCATGTATAACAGAACTTTCTGGGATATATTATGAGGGGAAGGTAGAAAGAGGAAATCTTACTGAGGTAGACAGAGTCTGGGAAGGCTTCTTGGAACAGGTACTATTTGGATTGGGTCTTGAAGGAAAATGAAGTATTTTGGAGAAGTAGCATTCCACAGTGAGAGAACCCTGTGAGTAAATGATGTATCAAATAGCTTAAGTTTTATTGACATTTTATGTGCTAGGTATTTTACATGCATTAACTCATTGGACTCCAAACAGTCCTGTCAAGTAGGTACCAATATCTGAATTCATAGATAAGGAAAGTGAAGCTTGGAGAGGTTGATTTGCTCAAGATTATATAGAGGATGGGTTCTAGAACAGGAAGAGGTCTGTCTGCCAAGCTCAAAATCAGGAGGTGGGAGTGGGTTCCAGCCTATTCAGGAAATGGTCAGTGGGCCTATAGGTATGAATCATAAACTGAAGGAAGGCTTAGGGCAGTGTTTCCCAAGTTTGCCTTAGCCTAGGGATCAGTGGGGATATTTGTTAAAAATAGAGATTTCCAAGCCAAATCTTCTGGAGATTCTGATCCTGTTGAAGTGGGGCAGGGCCTTAAAATCTACCTGTCTAACAAGCACCCCAGGTGATCTTTTGATCAGGCAAGCTGGGCATACTTGATTAACTTGATTAATGTATAGCAGGACATAGGCATCTAACTCCCAATTGGTGCAATTGTTTGTAGAATTAGAAATTTTTTTTAAAAGAGACTACACAGTTTAGACTTTATTCTCTATTTAATGGGGTGACATTGAAGGTTTATAAGCAGGGTATGAAATTGTCATGGAGGGAGAAATCTCCCCCCATCCCTCTTGAGTTATTAGGGCTAGACTAATAATAAAATTGACATGACACCAGATTAACAGGAGAAGAACCAATTTAATATGGGCACATGGGAGATCATAAAAATGATGCTCAGAGGGTGAACAAAGCAGGCAGTTTACATATCTTTTTACACAAAGAAACAATAAATTTGTGAGGATTTGACAGGACAAAGAAACTTAGGTTTGGGTGCTTACTTAGTATGGAACTTAAGCAGAATTTGGGTTTGAAGTAGTAAATTAGTAAAGAAGTAACAAGGTTTGTTTATACAGGCTTCTCAGCCCCGAATTCCGTAGCTCTGGTGATAAGGACACAGGGAGAGCACCTTTCACATGGAAGATTTATTTCCTGCTTTCAGGGTTAACAGAGAGGAGGGTCAAAAAGGCCTTTTTGCATCGGCTTCTTCTCAAATAAGTTTAATTCAAAATAATCAATATGCCATTGTGGCATATTTTGAGGTGGCCTGCCCTGGGCCCCAACAAAATTATTAGATGCTTATAGAAAAAAATGGAGTGTTATTTATAGGAAGAAATATGGGGGGGGGGTTTGTTAAAATTTAAAATATATATACATTTTTTACTTCCAATAAGGTACTTTTAAAATGGGGAAAGGCTAACTTATTAAAGAGGTCCCTAAAGCATTTTTTATTTTGGAATAGAATCTTAAGTCATAAGATTTAATTTAAAATTAAATTAATTTTAAATTAATTAATTAAATCTATTAAAAATTTAATATTTGAGATTGTGGTGAGAATAAGTATGTATGTTTTAACATGAGACATAATATAACTATTATAGTGATTCCAATTTATTTTTATAATGTTGTTTCTCTGATTTTAAAAGTAATACTTTTTTTGGATTTCAATACTGATGGAAATATTTGTTTCCCTTCCTTCCTGGATCCACTCTCTTCAAACTTCTGACCCCATTACTTCCTCCATCACTTTCAGCTGGCAAAGTCGCCTTCTACTTACCAGGAAAAATATACACCATCACATGGAGACAGCCTCAGTTTCCTGACTGAAACTGGCAAGTCAGCATCCACACCTGCTCCCTCCTTGGGGAACCAGTTTTAGGGAAGAGGTATCAGCAAGGTCATATTCCTCCACCTGTGCCTTGGGTGCCATCCCCTCCTGCCAGCTCAAGGACCTCCTTTGCCCTTTATCCCTTTACGGACTAGTCCCCTGTTCTCCAATTTGAGTGATACGTGGACCTCTTTTAAGGAAAAACCTCTTACGGGTTTCCAGGGACAACTTAAATTTTTTTTTATTATAATTTTAAATAAACAGGTATGAGCTCTGTGCTTTATAGCTGTTATATAAGATAAAAACAATTTTATAACTTAATACAAATAAACTACAAAATAAAATTCAATAGCTGGTATACAACTATAAAAAAGCGCATTTAGAAATTAATACAAATAAAACCATAAAACTTAGGATATTCAAATGTACATAGTTTAATGTGACAAATGACACTAAGTTGCAGCTTGAAAGTTGAAACATTTGACTGCTACTGCCTAGGTTCTTTTGAGTTCTTCATGCATAGATCATTCCTGGCCACGGGATGACTCATCTCTCACTACTCTTCTCTGTTTGGAACATAATATCCCATAATAGCAAGATATGTTAAGACTTCGTGTAAATTTGCTGTGGCCCTACATGCCCTAGTTTGTTTTCCTTTGGGTATTCCATTAGAACTTTGTATTTATCATAATACTTATCACTATATGTTATAAAATGCCCATTCGCCTTTCAGTCTCCACCATCTGCCCATGGTAGTTTAAGTTGAATCCCCAGCACCCATCCATTGATATCATAAACTAACATTATATCCCTTTTTTACTTGCTATAACAGGAACATTTCCCCCATGCATTACTCTTTGAAAACATTTCTATTAACATCATAATATTCATCATATTTTATATATAAAAGTGTATTTAACTTTTCCTCTATTGCTGAACATTTAGATTGCTTTCAGCTTTTCACTTTTACAAATGTTATAAATTTTATTTGCATCCCTTATTTTCTTAGAATAGATCTCTTAATAGTTGAATTACTGGGTCCTGAGTAGGAAATACAGTCTAGTGGTTAATGACTTAAGTTCAATTCTTGGTTGGCTTTGTTGCCTGCTAACCATGTGACCATTAACAAGATGAATAACCTCTCTAAGCTTCAGTTTCCTTATTTTAGTACAGGGATATTTACTTAATAGTATGCGAATACTTAGCATAGTATATGAATAGAAAAGTAATTAGAGCAATGGCTGACTCTCATAAATGCTAGCTATTATTTTGTACTTAGAAAAATACCTGATGTAGGTATTCGCAAATGACAGGTAAATTTACCTCTTTACACTTCCAACTTCAGTCATGAGAACACTTCATCAAATTATAAGATTTTGAGTTACAAAATGAATACGCAGTTGATTTCACAGTATTGCCACCCATGCGAAGCACCTCTCTAGAATATCTGCTTGAGAGAACTGTAAAAATGTTTGCACTTGCGAAGCGATTAAAAATACCAAAGAAACAATGGCGCGTATTTACGTTACTTAAAAGCGTCCGTTCCCTGCAGAGATGCAGAGGCCCTGAGAATAGGTAGAGGGGTGGTTTCCTTTACCTAAACGGAAACCCAGGGTGGCCTCTAAGGCTTTGGACAGCTGTTCGGCGTAGAAACAGAGCGCAAACGGGGAGAAAAAGGGAAAAAACCCAGTGAGTCTCCGCCTGTTTTAATAAGTCACGCTGCTCCAAAGTGCGCTTAGGAGAGCAGAGAAGTTTTAGCTACTTCCATGCCTCCCAAAAGCCCTCCTAGAAATTTCCGCTCATTGGCTCCTTTCAGTTATCCTAGTTCTCCCGAGGAAGCTTCCCCGTCTCCCTGGCAACCCGAGCTGCCACCAATTGCAGCTAAGGTTGGTGGTCACGTGGCCACTGCCCCGTCCCTAGCGGACGCAACATGGCGGCCCCGGAGAGCCGCAGCTGCGAGATTTGAACTACTCGTCTTGTTGCTGCTGCCTCCCTGACGATGGCGTCTCCAGCTTCGTGCGGTTCGCGTCAGAGCCCAGAGGGGCTCCTTGGAGACCCCTCTTCACAAGAAGATGAGGATTGTGATCCTGAAGATCGTGTCAGCGACTCGGGTTCATACTCCTCTGCAAGTAGCGATTATGAGTAAGGTTCTCGAAGAGGGGCAGTTAAATCCATCCTTTCAGTCCAGAGTGTACACGTGGGCTGGGGGGACTGCAAGAGTGTTGGCGTGGTGGGCATTGAGTGTTTGAGGTTCTATAATAAGCGGGATTTATTTGCGCCACGTTTCATTTGTGTGATATTGTGAGCCGAAATGACGGTGCCATCCTTTGCTGCTGTAGGTTTTTTACGATCCTCAGATGAGGAGGCTCTCCTCTTTGTGGTGGGTTCTGTAATATTTGAGGGTATATCTGTTAGTGTTCATAAAACTTCTATCTCGGTGTCTTCCTGCTTCTCTGATGTCATGATCTTTGTGACTTTAACCTCGTTAGTGTTTAGAGTGAAGGGACACCCTACATGTTTTATAAGAAACTATTTAAATTATGTAAATTTTTTTTCCTGTTATAAAAATGAAGAGATATATAAAATCCACCGATAGTCTCACCGTCGAGGACAACCTCTCTTAGCATTTTTGGATATTTCTGCTATATTTTCCTATACATTCTCATGGTTTTCTTGTTTTTTATTTTATGGCATAATGTAATTTTAAAAATACAGAATAGTGTTATTTTCCACTTTTTAAAATTCTTAATGAAAAAGTTATTTTGATTCACAGTACCCAATGCTACTTCAATTTTAAAGGAATTTATACCTTACTGCTATGGTTTAAGAACTTTTTGGAAAAGTTAATTAGTGATAGCTTGAAATGACCAACAGTGAAAAGGTTCAGGTGCCAAAACATCAACCAACCCCATAATGGACTGCCATACATAGTCAGTTTTAGGATGACATTTTATGTGTATTTAGGAATAACACTTACAAGTAGTTAATGTGTATGTAGGAGTAACAGTTACTTGGCAATTATTTTCACCTATAGATATGTAAAACATTTTTATCGTTACCTTTAAAAGCGTAAGGGGAAACCATCACTAATGGCGGCTTAATATACTCTAGAGGCTTAATGAGAACAGATTATATTCTTGAAGACTTGAACAAATTTAAGAATATCGAATATTTTATGTAACCTACTGAGTCATTTAAAAATAATTACAAAATTCATGGATATCAAGCGAGGCTGCTGGAAGGAAGTATGGATTATGTGGAACCTTCTTTGGTCTTGCCATGTAAGCCATAGACAGTGTGAGACTCAACTCTTGATTTCTCTACATCTTAGGATCACACACTTTTCGCCCAGAGAGAATCTGTAATTTGCACATCATCACACAGCTGAGTGTTGTCAGTGTAGGAATTCAGGAGACCTGATTTCAAATGGGGCACCTTGATTTGAAGATAAATGAGCTAGCCTTGTTTCCAAGGAAACGAGCAATCTGAGGACCTTGTGTTAGGAAAACGTGTTATTTTAAAGCATTTTGTGATTCAGAATACATGTATATATGTCTTATATTTTAGTTTTTAAAAATGGTCATTAAGCTTTCTTATCAGTCATTCACTGATCACTCCACTTGTTCCAGTGTCTTTATCCTCCTAACAAAGTACAGTAAATCCCTATTGTAAAATGTTTTGCTGGTCTATATTTTGAGTCCTACCAAGATTCACATTTTCTGGCTGTCTCTTCTTGGTGTGTAGGACATGAGAGTTGATTTGCTGACCTGACCAGGTAGGCTTGTGCTCTGTTCCTTCCTTATGGTATTAGGTATTTACCTCCCTAAGCTGCAGTGTCACCAATGCAAGAGGTAGCTTTCCCAACTTGGACAGAACCACTCTTTGATCAAAGGCATAGAGATGTGAACCTAATTTTTCTCATCAAAACTAAGAGATATGAATTGCCTATTGTGTTTCATTGCCTACATGAAGGTTATTAAGGAAGTTACGCTACTTATTGATTCTCATAAAGTATCCTGAATTTTCAGGGTTCTGGATAGTTAATTATCTGCATATTCTTTCTGGAAATTGTCATTATTTCATACATGCTTTATAACTGAAAACCAGTTTGAGCTGCATGTGATTGTCAATACAAAGTTAATAAGTTTGTCATTTTTAAGATAAAATTACTTTAGGGTACATTCTGGTAAAGTACTTTTAATAGGTTTATTTAAGACTTAGGAGTAAAATTTTAGATTGGTGCAGTACATCTTAACCTGGCACATTGTCAAGTCCCTGGGGAAGCTTCAGAGGTAATTCTGGTGGGTAGGTTGGATTGAGGGAACCAGTGACTAGTTTCAGTATTGAAATAATGAAAATCATACATTTACTTGCAATAATGCCACCTTTCTTTGCTTTGGTTTACAATTATTCAACTCATTGAAGCAACATTGGTTAGTTCATGTTGGCCAGAGTTACCAATTTTATGACTTAGATTTTTGATATTTCCAAGTGAATTTTTTGTTATTATTGTTAGTTTTAAAACCTTGACTAATGGAGAGAAAGGGGGGTACTTTTAAAAGAGAATTTAGCTGTAAAAAGCTAAGGAACTTCCACTGAAAATAAGAAGAATGACTGGAGAAGAAGGAAAATATATCCTTTAAATTTTTTTCTGGGATTTTTTTAAACAGCTTTATTGAAATATAATTGACATACAATAAACTGCACATATTTGAAGCATATGATTTGATAAGTTTTGACATATATACATCTATTAAGATAATGAACATATCCATCTCTTGCAGAAGTCTCCTCATGTGCCTCCCTAAGATTACTCATTCCCCCCTCACTCCTTACAACCACTTATCTACTTACTGTCATTATAGATGAATTTGTATTTTGTAGAGTTTTTAAAATATGGAATCATGCGGTATGGACCATCTTTTTTGTCTGGGTTCTTTATGCAGCATAATTATTTTGAGACTCATATGTTGTTGTCTATGTGTAGTTCATTCCTTTTTATTTCTGAATATGATTCCATTGTATGAATACACAAAAATGTATCTTTTTCTTGGGTTTTTAACATGGGAATGTACTACTTGAAGGATCAAAATATTTCATTCAAAGTCATGATGCTGTATGTTCACATCCAGTTTAAGATAATTCCTTTTTGCTGTCCTGCTCTGAACACTGACTTCTTTTTGCTTTTAATTTAACTTTTCTTTTATCAAATTATATAGATTAAAAAGTCAAATAGTATGTAACTAGGTTTATGATGAGAAATGGTAGTTCTCTGCTACTATCTCTCTCTGCTTCCAGCTCAGCATGTTTGAAGAGCATTCATTATCTTCCTTGTTTCTCCTCTCGTGTTGCCCATCTCATTTGCTGACATCACTCTCTCCTTGCTCCTGTCTTCAGATCTAGGAAGTTTCTAGTCCTGTAGACCTTCTTTTCTGATATCCACCCCTCCTTCTTCTCTCTCTTCTTACAGGCACTGCCTTACTTAAAGTGCTTGCCTCTCCCGTACACCAGTGGAGTAGCCTTCTGACTCGTCTGGATGCCTCTAATTTCTCCCGTTTCCAGTCTTTCTTCCATACAGCTGCCAGAGTTTGCCTTCTAAAACACGGTTCTAAATCATTTTTCTCTTACAGAACCTACTACAAAAAGATATAATCTGGCAGTTTGGATCAAAAAGAGAATAAACACAGGGGCCGGCCCCGTGGCGTAGCAGTTAAGTGCGCGCGCTCCGCTGCTGGCGGCCAGGGGTTCAGATCCCGGGCGCACACTGACGCACCGCTTGTCGGGCCATGCTGTTGCAGCATCCCATATAAAGTAGAGGAAGATGGGCACAGACGTTAGCCCAGGGCCAGTCTTCCTCAGCAAAAAGAGGAGGATTGGCATGGATGTTAGCTCAGGGCTGATCTTCCTCACAAAAAAAAGAGAGAGAGAGAATAAACACATGCATGAATGTCACCAGCAAAGCTAACCAAAATGAAGCAGATATCCACATGCTTAACTAGGTCATCCCTGTGATGGAATGAAGAAAAGAAGGCTGAAATTAAAAACTAACAACTAATATGTCAGGCTTGATCGCCGATGATTGTATTGTTCAAGTAATTCAACCGCTTCAGTTACAATGGAATTTCTTTATAATGTTGCCTGAAATAACTGAGACTTTTGAAAATGAGACTAATGCTCATAGTGTCAGTACCACATTTGCAATGTCAAAATAATTTTTTCAATAGATGATTATGAGAGACATCCTGGTGCAGTGTAATGAGTACTGATTTAAGAGTAGGGGTCAGACAGCCTGTGTTCTAGTCATCCTTGCCACGGCCACATGGTATCACGTAGCTTCTGTGAGCATCAGTTTTCACATGTTAAAATGGGAATGTGAATGGTCACTCAACTCTGAATTTTGTTGACTGAAAGAATGTTTGCTTAAATCCTAGGAACAGGAAAACTGTGAATAGTTGATGAGGTAGTTGTTGATGAGGGATTGACAGGAAGACAAGGAGGAGATTGATGTTGGAGGTAACATGTGTTTGATTTGGTGGAGGGTTAATCCAAGCTGAGTTTAATTTTTTTTCCCCCAGCTTTGTTGAAATTTAATTAACAAAAATTGTATGTATTTAAGGTATACAATATGATGATTTGATGTATGTTTACAGTAGCAGATTCTCTAAGAGGAATGCACATGCTCTTTTACAAGTTTATTTTGCTTTACTGAAAGTCTTTTTCATTTTGTCAAATTTTCCCTGGTCTTGAGGGATTCAGAATTAGAGGAATTTTTGGTTATATCTTATTGTTTTACAAGGTGTCTCTTACAATAGAGTTTTCTCATCTTTGTCGGAGGTTTCACAACTTTCTCCATCTTGAAGGGATGTATTCTAAGGGGCAGTGTGGCTAAAGAGAGCACTAAATGCAAGTGATTCTACCTCTGGTGTCTTAGAGCTTGCATTTTCTCTTTGGAAATGAAATCTTTGTGTAGATGACCCTGGAAAGACATGCTTTTCTTTAACATGAAATTATATTCCTGGTATTGAAATTTTTATGGGCCTTCATCCATTCTGACTTTTATTTTAAAGTTTAAAATATTAGTATAATTGTATTAGGGCAGTGAAACTACTCTGTATGATACTATAATGGTGGATGACACCTTT